CCTCCCCTTTCTTTCACCCTAGTGAAGCAAATAGTAATTTTGTTTGCCTGTATTATTTCCATGAAAAAGTTTGAGAAGCATCCATAGCAGCTATTTATATTGAACACTCTACGAACACTTTTACCACATTTCAGGTGAAAAAATTAGCATCAACAAAGGAAGAAAACTGCAAGAGTGAAATGTGTATCTGGGACCCAAGGAATTGCCTTTGGCCTATATGGGAGGGTGTGAATGGGTGAGAAAAGTAGAATGAATATACAACTGACAGGGTAGAGTAGTTATAATGTTGGGTTTGAACTGCATGGTGAGGTCTCTGGACTTAATTCATTTGGTTAGTGGTGCCCATTGAAAGCTTCTGAGTAAACGCTGGACCTGTGAGAAGCTGGACGTTTAAAAAAAATAATTTTCGGCAATAGATAAAATCTTGACTGTCATACATATATAAAAATAACAGTGCATTAATGATTTTAGTTAATTCATAAGGGAACCCACAGATGTTGTAGTTAGTTCAAAAGAGAATTTAAAAAACTAACATTTATAGAACGGGAATATTGAGATGAATGTACAAATGGAGTCCAAACTGGTTTTTCTGCAGGTAATGAGGCTGGATGGAGTGTGGAGGAAGTCAGTTAAACCTCTACCAGACAGGACATAATTTTCATGTCTAATATTTGCATTACTGTCGGTTACCAATAACTTACAGAATTGTAAAATAGCTCAAACAATGAACAGGAATAGGCAGTGCATCATTTTCCACTGAAGCACACATTTTTTTTTTTCCTTAAAGGACTTGCTAGAAGCTGGATATTAGTAAGATCATAAGTGTGAAATTTTGGTTTGACGAGAAAAAAACTAGAGACATTAAGAACAGTTAGGAGATTATTGCAATGTCCAAAAGAGAGGAGTCTTGAAGGGTGTGACTGGGGTGATGGTTCTGGATTGGAACAGAGTGGAAGAAGCAAGTTACTAAGTCAAGGTGGGATCTACGAAAATTATCAATTCATTACAGGTAGGAGGTAAAGAAGATGAGCCTGGTGGCTAAGACTGGACCAATATTTGGATCCTGGATCTACCTCGTCATGTGACAACTGTGAGGGAATTTGACCTCTTTCATCTTGAGTTTGCTCATCTATAAAATGGCATTAAAACGCCACCTATCTTCTAGCTTTGTGAAAATTAAATAAGGTAGTGCACATTAAGTAAGCTTGACTCAAAGTAAAAGGTAAATAAATGTTGGCTGCTATTGTTACTATTACTCCATCTCCACTCCACTTCCTTTCTTCCCCCCTTCTTTAAGGTTTTAAACCTGGATTTGGGGGATCTGAATTTTAACATATTGATTGATCTGGGAGTCGTCCTGAACAGAGTAAGGGTGAAAACCAAGGAGTGAATGAGATCTTTACCTGAGAAAAAGGGCATAAGGCTAGAAGATTCCATTTATTAGGCGAAAAGAAGTCCGTGAAAAATAGGTCGATGGGTAGTGCTCATTACCCTTTATTATCAAATCACAGTGTAAGGAGAGAATTGATCTAGGAAGAGTCAGAGAGAGAAGTTAACCAAGCAGGTAATATAAGAGAGATCAGGAGGAGAAGGTTCAAGAAAGAAGGATGAATTTAGTGCAGTGGCGAAATTTGGGAAGCTTGATGTTGATGGTGAGAGACCTAGGGAGATAAGATATTCAATGCTGCAGTGCAGTTAAAGCATATGAAGGCTAGGAAAATGTGCACAATCTCTCATTATTGTCTAATATCAGTTACTAATGACTTTTAAGACACATGGGGTGAGAGTTTAGCATAGGCACTATAGAGAATTTAAGGAGTCAAGAAGGGAGGATGAAGAGCTAGCTGAGCACAGTGGAGGTCCCTGAGCTCAAGATCATCTGTATAGGGTTAGGGTATCATGGTGATCTAGTCGTTAGAATTCATGCATTTTTCACCACAATTTACTTTTGAAACCCAAGCTGTAAAGCAGATTGAACGTACTAACTTAAAGTGTGTCACTCAGGGGCTGAGTTCCTAATAAGGACTGGGCATGACATAAGCCATAGTACTGACCGTAAACACCAATTACTGATATCTGTCCTTGCCCATCCAGGGTTGCAGAGTGATGTTATCCATGGCCAACTGGAGGCCCACAGACTATTTTTCCTGGTCCTCTTGGCTTTATTTATTCACTTTTTTTTTTTTTAAAGAAAATATGAAGTAGCTGCCACAGTTTTAATTGGGAGATTTCATAGCAAAATTTAGATTTTGTGCTTTGGAAAAATCTCCTCCTCTGGCTGTACAAGGTCTGCAGTCCATGCATGAGAGCAGTTAGTGAGTGACCGACAGTCCACTGCCTTTGGATGACGCTTGCTCTGCCCAGTTTATTGCAATCCCCACTCTTCCCTATCATCCTTAGAGCAAGTCAACTCAACTCATTTACTCTACCTGCCAGGCCCCTGGAGACTCTGTCTTTGCAACCCGTGCTCGATCCTACTCAGTTAATGTTCAGGCTTTGCAATTGTTTCTATGTGGATTGATGTTTAAACCCTGGGAAATCCCTTTACCCCCTAGATAGATAATACTGAAATGTATTTCCACAGCTCATTATATTCATCTAAGGTGAGACAGAGTTGTTTACACCTCTGTGAGAAAAGCAGTACATCATATCTATTCAATTCATTAACTTTACGGAAAAGTTAGGCAGGAGAATTCTCTTGACACTTATTCTTAACCTAAATCATAAGGAAAAGTTATTATAATTCTGCCATCTGTTCAAGTTTTTAAAGCCATTTTGGTAAACTTAATGCTAATGCAAAATGCATGCCTTAGTACTAATTAACCGAAAAATCTGTTTCATTCTTCTCAGATAATGAAAAAATATGTCAAGGACATGATTTCTCAAAGAAAATCTAATTTATGGCACTTAAGCCTTTAAACCACCCTTATGATGTGCTCATGAACACAAACATAAGAATAACAAAAAGTCACATCAAATATTCCCATTAGGAAAATCCCCAGACTACAAGCTTTAGACATTTACAATTACAATTTAGATTGCTATTTCCACTTAAATAGTACAGTCCGTCTTGGCTGATAGAAGCTTTTTGTATTGATGGGGGGGGTGGAGGGATTGGAATGGAGGACTGAAGAACATGGGGAGTGTCTGTAAGGCCAATATTGATTTAATGTCCAAGTCCAAGTACCGCGTTAGTCCTCTAGAAACCTAATTAATTGAAATATGTGCTATTTGAGTATATTTATATTAAATGTTATTGGCCAATGACTTTTCAAACCTCTCTAGCTTTATTTTGTTATAGGAATAGGATGAATCCAGTTTCATTATGTTTATGCTTAACTCTCTGTGTTTTGAACTCGTTTTATTTTCCTGGCACTGTTCTCTTGTTTCTGTTGTGTCTTTGGTGTATCATCCCCAGATTATCTTGGAAAAATAACATTTGTATTTGATCGCAAGCCTACTCAAAAAATCTTGCAATGATTCTTTATTTTCTGTTAGATAACATCTAGAATCCTTCGGGTCTTTACCACCTGTTTTCTGGTTGTATTTCTCACTGTCCACTGCACTAAACACTTCAGGGAGATGGTTTTACTCAAGGTACTGAATACATCTCATGCAAGGCTTAATCTCACTCTGTTTTGCAGGGGTGATAAAACTGTTCATTCTTCTTTTCTGAGATACCCAAGCCATCCTACCGTAAGGAATAGCTAGACACAAATGATGAGGATAGCGACAATGAGTGTGTGCATGCATACGTGTGTGTGTGTGTGCACCCATGTGTGTTGAGAGAGAGAAAATAGATATGGCAAAACGTGAATACTTGATGAAGGATATACAGAAGTATTTCTTACAATTACTCTTGCAACGTATTGTGGGCTTGAACTATTTCCAAATAAAAAGTCGTAAAGAAAAGAAGCAGTTGGGATCAGACCAGTTACAAGTGGCGTTGGCCAGTTTGGGGATATATACCAAATGTATTTAATTATTGCTAATATTCATAGGTTCCCTGTGCTCTCTGGAGAAAGGTATTATGTTTTGTCCTGGTCTTTTGTTTCACCAGTTCTTCAGTTGCTGCTTCCTGAGGGCGAACATATTGGTTGATAAGAAGGCAGATTTAGTACTATATTAATTTTCAGAGTGAAGTTGTGACTTCTTTCCTCCCTTGTTTCTAGACATTTAGTGGTGAACATCATACAGTCTCTGTGTTAAGGAGCTCACAGTATTGGAGAAGGCAAAGGAGGAAGTCAGTGATAGCAAAACAGGGAGAAAAGTGTGACAATTTCAGTATATTTGACACATTTTTGTACGGTATTTGCAGTTTTGACTCTACATGGATTTGATATCACATCCTTGCTGCAGTGCTTTTATAGATTATTGCCAACTGCTACACTGACTAAAATGAGTAATATCCTTTGTCTCATTGCACATCATTCCAAATTGCCATTCAAAACAGTTGTTCTTAACAACTGGAAACAGGCTGGAATACTTCTCATCCATGTGTTTTATTCTTCTTAAAATATTTATTCAGAATACCACAAGGAATCTTCCCTTTCTGACATTCATTGATGATTTGCTAATGATACCCTTCATTATAAGTAAAATTTATATTAATTATGATTAGCCTTTTATTGGGTGTATGTATTTTAATTCGCTAAATTGACTGTACAATGGTAATTAAAGCTTAGAAATGTAAGTAGCTTGAACACTTCAACATTCTTTGTTTCTTTAGCAGTTTGCTAGACTAGAAAGTCCATGAGGCCACAGTCTCTACCTTTTTATCCAACTATTTTTGGAGAAACTGCTGTTTCCCAGGTGCAGTGCTAACTGCTGGGATAAAGATGTCTACCACCATCCAATTCCTCCCCTAGGGGTGCTGCAAAACTTCACCAAATGTGGACTTTTCGGGCTGAAGGGATCCTTTGCAGACATGTTTCTTCACTGTCCAGGAACAAGTGATGTCATAATACCCTCATCTTTTTTTTTTTTTTTTTTTTTTGCAGTTCCCAAGGTAAAGTGCTGCCATTGTTTTGACCGTTTGTGCAGATTTTATTTCACATGGTCTGATTCATCTTTGTGCGGCATCAAGTATCTAATGGAGCATCTTAAACAGTGTAAGTGTTGCAAAAATATTTTTGAATGAATATGTTACTATGCTTGCATTCACAATTCGTCATACAGCTAATGATTGATTCAGATACATACAGAAATATCTGACACATGTTTGGCATTTGTGAAATGAAAGTCTTCTACCTTTATTCTAGTTGGTTATCTTTGGAATATATTTTCTAGAGTCAGTGTGAATCTTAGCTTTTCTTGGAATGCATTGGAATGCCTTCATAAATTCAGAAACAGTATCGTCTCCCCTGTTATTATGTAGCATACGGAGAAGGAGCCATGTCTGACTCTTACTCGTGTGTTTATCGTGCCTCGCATATAGTCAGCACCTGTTAAATACTTGTGGAATGAAGGAGTAACAGGCATTTGAGATACAGGTAAGTTTTTTGTAGGTAGTAATGGAAAGGGTATGTCAGGTAAAAGAAATGGAATGAGCAGTGACCCAGAGGCTGGACAAGGTTAAGATTAGTTGAAGGAATCTCTAACTAGAAATGTCTAGACTAGATCAAGGATGGTTTTAGAATTACCTGCAACACACATGGATATCATCTATGGAGTCAGAAACTAGAATAAATACTCTCATGCTCAGGCTGTAACACTAGTACTATAAGTTTTTCTTTTTTTAATACATTTATTCATTTATTTATTGGCTGTGTTTGGTCTTCCTTGCCACGCGCGGGCTCTCTCTAGTTGCGGCGAGCGGGATCTACTCTTCGTTGTGGTGTGTGGGCTTCTCACTGCGGTGGCTTCTCTTGTTGTGGAGCACGGGCTCTAGGCGTGCAGGCTTCAGTAGTTGCGGCACGCAGGCTCAGTAGTTGTGGCTCACGGGCTCTAGAGCACAGGCTCAGTGGTTGTGGCGCACGGGCTTCGTTGCTCCACGCGTGTGGGATCTTCCTGGACCAGGGCTTGAACTCGTGTCCTCTGCATTGGCAGGTGGATTCTTAACCACTGCGCCACCAGGGAAGCCCACTAGTACTATAATTTAGAATGCAGTCTTGGGAATCAGTGAGATGGGGTTTCAATTTTGATTCTTCCACTCATCAGCTGGATGATAATAGGCCTCACAACCAACTTTTTTTTTTTTTTTTTTTACTATTTTCTCATTTTTTTCAAATGTTGCTGATAATACGTTTCCTCCAAGGGGTTGGGTGCCTGGATGGAGTGAGTCTTTACTTATCCGAGGTTGATGATGGTTGGTGTCATCATGATCATTATTCCCTTTCTTCTCCCTCTTTGGAGAAAGCTGAATATTCTGTAACATCAGCACAACTTGTTATAGCTTCTCTTGGGAACATATAATATAGTCAAGTGCTATTGACCTGAAATTTAAAGGCCTCTGGCTGTTTTTTATGGATGTGATATACTTTGTTGCTAGAAGTAAATGCAATTGGAATAGCTTGATCCAATGAGAGTTATCTTTCCTCTCTCTTGCATAAAGCTCAAAAGGTATATATCTTCATAAAACTTGTACCAGTGAGGCAAATGTAAAACCCACAGGCAAGTAACAGGCTTTGCTTGTGCATTTCCTAGGGGCTACTTAAAACTACCTCTTGTGTAAAGGATGCTAAATAATCATACTGTCAGGTTTCACTTTTTGTTTTGGTTTTGATTACACACTCAGACAAGTTAATACTTTGGGGGAAGGCCTTGGATGGGGCAGTTGTGGAGCTGAAAGAATCTTGTTTGGGCAACTCGTTCCAAGGGTGCTGTACACATCAGGATTCATCACTTAGCAGGCAGCAGAACCTCATCCAAGCATTGGTTGAAAATCCCATGGTCTTTTTTTTTCCCTCTAAAGGAAGGTACCCTGGAGTAGTGGGTAATTGCCAAGCCTGAAGAAGAAAATTATAATAAAAATGAAAAGATGAAATTACTTAATTACAACATAGTTACTCCAGAAATCTTCACGATGAATGGGAAAATTTAGCAGAGCTCTTAAATGTCACTGTAATCTAGCCCCATGCCCCAGAAACGCTAAATTGTAATTGACCCTAATTATATAAATACCCACTGGTGAGAAAAGATGTGTTTTTAAGACGGCTTTACTGCTGCTGAACTTCACTAACAAGTCGCTCATGACTTCAACAGATGTTTTGTGCGTCTTTGGCTGAGGGGGTCCTTAGGAACCAGCTTTCCTCTCCATTCAGCAGCAAATGATACAATAATGCTCTTAGAGTGTCAGCATATGAGGTAAAAAATGGGCTCCTTTAATCATTGCTCAGACTGTTTTGTCTTCCCTGTAAGGATAATTTCACTTGCAAGCAACAGAAAAACAGACCCATTCTAGGTTAAGCAAACAGTGACATTTATCGTCTCAAATAATTGAAAAGTACTAGATTTGGCTTTAGGTGTAGCTTTATCTCTGTGTGTGTGTGTGTGTGTGTGTGCGCGCGTGCATGTGTGTGAGCGTTTGTCTCTCTGTGTGTGTGTCTGTTTCTCTATCAACTATTTCCTTGGTACTGAGTTTAGTCTCCGGCAAACACTCTGATCATGGTCCTAACGTGATTACTCTCAGCTATGAGCCTTCTTCTTTCCTCCATTCCTGTTCAGTAGGAAAAGGGAAAGGCTCTTCCCATAACTGTGGAACAAAAATCCTGGGCTTCATTCTGATTGGTCCAAATTTAGTCTCTTGCCCATCTCTGAGCCAGTCAAAATGGCCAGGGAGACAGACTTATGCTGACTGTTCTGTGGTAAAGCTGTGGAGGCCCAAGTGATGCATTCAGCTCCCCGCCAGAGTACATGTACCCAGAGTACATGGGTTTTGTGGCAGAAAAGATGCTATTTCCAAGAGAAGAGTAAATAGATATTTGTTGCGTCAAAAGAGAAAACTGTACAGAATTTTTTTCCGTAACTTTTTAGCAACGGGTTTCCCCCACCAAATTTTTGGTGTAAAAATTGTTAGACGTATGGAGAGTTGCAAGAATAGTGAAACAAACACTCATTACCAGCCATTTAGGCTGAACAATTGTTAACGTTTTTTTTTAGCACCCTATCTTAAGTGGCAGGCTATATCCTGTTTTGTTCCAACTCTTGACAAATTTCTCAGAATTTCTTCAAATGAAGATTTTTAAAAGTTCAGTACTTGAGGATTCGAATGGAAACTAAATGTCATTTCCATGGTGCTGAGTCCTTTACCTGCCTTCTCTCTTTTGTTCTCTTTCTGAATACAGCCAAGAATCATTCTATTTTCCAGCAAGCTGTCTTGTACACCCTGAAGGGAATATTATAAGATTAAGTGCCGAGCAGCAGTCTTCGAGCAAGGTGAATGCTTCTCATTACACAGATCCCCAGTTGATCTCCTAAATGTAATTTCCTGATAATGTGAAGATTCTGAATTATTTATTACCTCATATTAGATCAGGAATATTATTCCTGAAAATAAATTTGTTATCATCAGCAAATCAACTTTTGAAAGTTTTCTGTATCAAAGAATCAACCAGGGAGTAGGTTTTGAATTCTTAGGGGGGAAAACTGGTTATTTATTTTGAGGTCTGTTTACAGCTAGGTGGTTCAAATGCAGACGAAGAACCATACACTGAAGAATTACAGTTTCTGGATATGGTGATAAGTAATTCATCTAGTGGTTTATTATACTGAGTAAGTCTGACTACAATCCTGAAACTCAGTAAAAATTCTACACTGAAGTAATGAATTTCAAACATTTCCTATTCATTCATTTTTTTAAAAATAAACTTATTTATTTGTTTGTTTATTTATTTATTTATTGGCTGCGTTGGGTCTTTGTTGCTGCATGCGGGCTTTCTCTAGTTGTGGCAAGCAGGGGCTATTCTTTGTTGCGGTGTGCGGGCTTCTTGTGTTGTGGAGCACAGGCTCTAGGCGCGGGGGCTTCAGTTGTTGCGGCATGCGGGCTCAGTAGTTGTGGCTCATGGGCTCTACAGCTCAGGCTCAGTAGTTGTGGCGCACGGGCATAGTTGCTCTGCAGCATGCGGGACCTTCCCAGACCAGGGATCAAACCCGTGTCCCCTGCATTGGCAGGCAGATTCTTAACCACTGCGCCAGAAGTCCCTCCTGTACATTCTTGAAGATGCCATCTTTTCTCCTCTGATTACTCCATGTGATATTGGTAAAAATAAAGGAGATTTACTGGCATTAGGTTGGTGGTTAATCATAACAAAAGGAGTTAGTATTTCTTAATACTAAGGGGCCAAGCACTTTGCTGAGCCCCCAACCATCTTCTTTCATTTAATTTTCTAACAACCCGGTGAAGTAGATACCATTATATTCTTCCATTTTATAGATGAGGAAACTGAGAGGCGTAGGATATTATGGAACTTCCCCAAGACCAAACAAGTGGTAAATTATGGCAGTTGGCTGTGAACCTATGTTAATATGAAATGCTGTTTATTCAGTGCATAAAAATTAGCCCAGATGTGACAGAGCTGTACAATTGAGAACCTGAGTCCGTAAATGATCATCACGAACTTTAAGATAAGATCACTGCTATTTTTAGACATGCATGTCAGAATGTTGGATTTTATAAACCCAAGTCTCTTCATGGCAGAAATGATTTAATAAATCTGTCTATATAAGTATTTTTAATAGACTTTATTTTTTAGAGCACTTTTAGACTCAGCAAAATTGAGAAGGTCCAGAGATTTCCCATATACCTGCTCCCCCATTATCAGCATCCTCCATTAGCGTACCATCAGAGTGGTATATTTGTTACAGTCGATGAACCTAAGTTGACACATTCTTATCACCCAAAATCTGCAGTTTACATTAGGGTACACTTTTGGTGTTGTATATACTCTGGGTTTGGACAGATGTATAACGCCAGGTATCTACCATTACTGTATCATACAGAGTAGTTTTACTGCTCTGAAAATCCTGTGTTCCACCTATATAAGTATTTTTATGCCATATACTAAGTCATTCTAACCTTCTAATACTTATTAAACTGTTTAGGAACGCGAATTCTAAAACCCAATAAGAGAAAAAGGACCATTTAGCAGGTCTAGAATTTGTCTCAACTGCAGCAAGAAGCGTTGTAGGCTGTGTGGAGAATTTCATAATTTATAAGTTGGTAAATTCCAATCGAAGCTGAGGAGCAAACCAATTCCCATTAAATAGAGTAAACATAATTTAGCAAACCTGGCCATGGAGCTTGAACTCCTCTCAAGAGATGACTGCTTAGAGACAGTTAACTCTCACCCTTAAAATGCCTTCTGTAGCTCATGTCCGTAATTTTTGGCACTGGACAGAGATGTGACCAATATTCACCTTGTGGCTTTCAGCCACCTGCTCTGCCTAATTAAAGACTTCCATTTTCTGCTCTGCTGGTCTCGTAATTTGCAAATAAACAAAATCCACAGGACATTTGATAGGAATGTTAAAACAATCTATGAACCATTTATCTTTCTCATTTGTAAAGTGTAAAAGGGACCCTTTCCCTGTTTTCTCCCTTGCCATCTCAGGAGGACTTTTTCCCTTTCCCTCTAGAAGTAAAGAAACCATATAGAAGTGGATTGGTATTTCTCCTTTAAAGATAACAAGATATATATATATATTTGGTGGAGGTACACATTTTTAATGTAATTTCTCTAAAAATGTAATTCATTTCTCTACCTTTTATAATTTTCTACTACTTTCCATTTCTACCTCACTTGTTTCTATTACTGCAGTGCCTCTTATGATCTGCCTGATTCCATACTTCTCAAAACTTCTTTCTACAGCACAGCCAGGGTAAACTGGGAAGCTCATAATACAAAAATAAGCATTTTTAAGCAGAAAATTATGATGTGAGTTAATGTTACTTACTTTAGCGTAAACATATGAAAAATTATGGAGATACTCTTTTCTATTTTTTATCTTTTGATCTTATGATTATTTTATAAAAACTACTGTATTCAATTATTTGCTTCTTTGTCACATAGAAGGTAAACACACAGATTGTTTTGTGTAATTCATAATGGCCGTCTACTAGTCCATTGTATGATTGTGACACAATTCACTGAGCAATTCCCAGTAATGAGATTTTTTTCTAATTTTTCCTGATATTAAAAATATTTCTTCAGTTAACTTCATTTTACATTAAGTTATGCCCACATGTGTTCTTTCAGAAGAAAACTGACTGCAATTGGAAATTGCAGATCAAGGGATGGGAACATTATGCATATTGCTTAATCATCTTTATAAATACTTATGTCATGCTCACTGTCAGTTTCTTTCAGTTACGAAAGAGTTTTCCCCCGTAATATGGTAGGTGAAAAAAGTTCCTCAGTGAAGTTGTAAAGTTCAGTTAATCAGTTGTTGGTTAGGTTGGTTAGCTTCATGCGTTTGTTGGCCATTTGTGTTTCTCCAGGATAGAGGGCAATTATGAGCAAGTATGTTGAATATTGAACCTGAAATTCAGACCTTTCAAGGGACAACATGTTCTGAGAATTTTTCTAGCCTCCTTGTAGGCTGAGCTTCAGCTGTGGGCCCTCTAATAGAAGCTGTATGCATTGATGATTAAAAATATGTACATTAGAGGAGTTTTTGCTACACTGAAATGCAAAATTATTACCTGCAAGGAAATGAAAAGCGAGGGAACATTCAGAAGATCTTTGATGTAAAATATGTTTCTCTACAGGTTTATTGTGGTTATTTTAATTATATTCATTAAATGAAGCTCATGACTTCTGGAATTCATATCCATATTCTCTATGCTAGGGGACCTCACTACTGATATAGGCTGTATTTCTGTCAACCGTAGTGGATTAGTTGCAGTTTTTACCTTTTAATTAAACAGTTGCTGCCGCTAAACAGCATTTTGAATTATTTAATAGTCCGTATTACTTTAGTCAATGCACACTGCTTGAATTGTTTTAATTATGTGAAGCTATACATTTTGTATGATATAGTTTCCCTAAAAATGAGTTGACAGTAATTATTCTTTTGAGATGTCAGGAATATCTTAGTATATTTGAAAATAATTATAACTAAAATTAAAAGCCAAGCTGATCAAATATAAAATATTTTGCTTTAAAACATGTGAAATATACAGAATTTTCGATAAAACTCCCATTCTGGATGTTGTTTGTAGTCTCTGTCTTATAAACAAGCAGCATGTGTAGTAACTACTCTTGTGCACAATTCAGAAGATGGGAGATGAACCTAAGGCTTAGACTTCGCATTGAGGCCTCATTTCAGAAATGAATTGCTTTCCAATTTTGTGGCTTTTTTGGCAACAGAGTTTGTTTAGATGATGCTCTCGTTCTTAAACAGAAATCAGTCAGTCCGAAAGCTGTTTACCGTTAATCAGCATGAATTTTTGTGATGCGTTCATGATTACCTTGTTACATTATTCCGAGTTATATTCAGAGGTATTACTTAAATTTCTAGTTTTAATAAGATTAAATGAATAATTCAGCACAGATTTGAATATTATAGATCCTGGGAAATTATTTTTAGAAAGTAACAATGGTGTGACCTTTCTTCTCATCTCTTTATTTAAAAAAAAAATAGAAATTTTCTCTTTCTCTCTTGATACATACATATACATATACATGTGTATATATATATATGCATATATATTTGTGTGTGTATGTATTTGGGTGTATGTGTGTGTGTATCCTATAGACAATATCTGTTTGCTGTTTTATAGGGTGAATTACGAAGTATAGTAATTGAAGTATTGAACATTGGAATGAACAGTTGAAAATACATCATATTGTACTTTTAGGTTTATCACTACATCTGAACTTTCTGAGAATTGCTGTGATCAGAACAGTCACCTTCAATATCTTGACTTGACAAGAACTAGTATCTTTAACTTCAGATTTTGATGGAATTTCTTTAAGTGGTGGAAGTACAGGGGAATGGTGTAAGACCCATCTAAGTTTTTTAAAAAATACAAACCATTTCACAGAATCTAGATGATGGTAACTGTCAGTATTCCTGGAATAAATTATTGCTACCCTTCCTGCTGACTTTTGTAGAACATTATTTAGAGACTACATCTGGTCCTATGTCTGCTTTGTGTTGACATCTCATTGATTATTTTAATCTCCTTTCCTGGCCTAAAGAAAAAAATGTAAATGTTAATTATAGAACTGGGCGGTTAGGTAATACTGTAAAACAATGCAAAACGTCAACTGCCTCTGTGGTCAGGTTACATCTTCAGAGTATAAGAAGGTGGTTATCATTCCTCACATTAATAGATGTTGCCCCGTTCAAGACAACAGATTCTGCCATTGAACTGGTGTTGGTAGATTAAGTAAGAGATGTTGCTCCTATCTTCTAAAGGACGTTGGTTGCTTAGAGCCTCAGGTGGAATTTAGTCTGAAGACAGCCATTTATTGAGCTTAAAGAAAGTCAGGATTTTAACTGCAGTCTATCAGTGTTTACAAACACAGGCCAAGTAGTACATCTCACCTCCATTCCCTCATAACAAGGAGTT